AGAGTTGCCATGGAAACGGCAACACACAGGCCCGTGACCTTCCCTGCTTACTGGCCACTGGGACCTCAGTTTCCTCCTGTGTGTAGTGGGAAGGCTACAGGAGCAGCCATGTGGGAAATGATTTTCAGAACTGCATAGACAGAAACAGTCTTCTTTCTTTTCCTTTCTCCTTGTTTGCCAGCCATCCCCCACCCCCCATTCCCACCCCATTGGCCAGGATCCTGGGAAAGCCAAATAGGGTTGGTTCTAATGGTTAAAGTCTTGGAGATAGTGAAGCCCAGGGCCCCTGCCTCCTCTGCAGGGGACAGGATTCTTGGGACAGCACTGAGACCCACTGATAAAATGCTTAGTCCTTGGGGGTCCCTTCAAGAGACCATTCCTTCTCACAAGCATAGTGGCTAGATCAGCAGTTAAGCCCCTAGTTCACTCAAGGTTCCAGTCCCAGCTCTTCTCAAATTAGCTGGGTGCTGCTGCACAAATGCTTTTTGCATCTCTGAGCTTCAGCTCTTTCCTCTTGAATGGACAGCCACAGCCTCCACCACCTGCCCTCAGCTCGGACCTATGTTCCCCTACCCTTCCAACAGTACTGCTTACCACCATTCAGTGGGATTTCTCTGGTAGTTCACATGGTAAAGCATCCACCTGCGATGCAGGAGCCCCAGGTTCAATCCCCGGGTCGGGAAGATCCCCTAGAGAAGGAAATGGCAACCCACTCCAGAGTCTTGCCTGCAGAATTCCATGGAGAGAGGAGCCTGGTGGGCTATAGTCCACGGGGTCACAGAGTCGGACACGACTGAGTGACTAACATGCACACACACACACACACACACACACCATTCATTAGGTTGCTTTGCATATTCTAATAGACTTGGGACACACTCAGATCTCTGTGACCGAGGCCAGGCCACACTCTCATCTCACAGGCGCCCTCCTCCTGAGCCCCGTACATTTCTAGACAGGGGAGGTGGCCCAGGCCACACTCAAAGCCGACATCTACATCATCTGGAGAGTCAAGCTGGCAGGCACATTTGTGAAAACACAACTCTGGCCAAAAAATTCTCCACACCTGTACCTCCAATATTTTATTGACTTTTAATAGAAGAATTGGAAAGAAAACATTTTCCATGCTCTTTGTTTTTCTGACTGAGCCTCTGAAATATTTTTCAGGTAGATACTTCTGGTAAAGAGTTTAGTTGAGTGATATAAATTACTACATTGAAATTTCATCTGAGCTTCCTGAAAGCAATTTTCCATGGTTTGTTCTTGCCTAGGTTTTACTAAAGTAACATTGGTGGGGGGTTTTCCACTAATGATAAAAAAGGATGTACATTCATGATAAAGTATCTGGATAGCACAAAGAAGAAAGTGAAAACTTCCCACAGTTTTCCTCAAAGACAACCACTGCCAACAGGCTGACATTAACTCTTTCCAAGAGTATCTATGTACAGGCATATATAGAGAAACATAAAACAATTGGATACAGTAACAATGTTTTCCTATATGGACATACGTTTCCTTTTATAAACTCGAGACTAAAACTGAATTTTAGTTTTCCAGAATATTTCATCTCATGTAAAACTCATTAAAATTTTATCAGTTTGATTAATAATATTTAGAATTTTTCAGATACAAGATAACAAATTTTACATAATACATACTTTATCTAAACACAAACTGTTTTTTTTAATATAGGCTCACACTGTATATTCTTGTGTGTAACTTGTTATTTTTTTAAAATCTTTTCCCATTTAAAAAATTAAGGCAAAAAAAATTAAGGCATAAATAACATATTAATGTACAGTTCTGGGGACTTCCCTGGTGGACCACTAAGACCAGATGAAGCCAAATAAATAAATAATAAAGTAAAAATAAAATATCTAGAAAATGTACAGTTGTGTGAGATTTGATCAGCACATGTAGTCATGTAACCACCATTACAATCAGGATGAGGAATTTTGCCTATAATTTGGTGGTCATCTAAAACACACCATCAAGCTTTCTTGTCATTTGCAGTGCAACGATTTAACCAGTCTTTTTTTTTTTTTTTTTTTGCTGGTCATTGGAGGTTGTTTACGATTTTCCTCTTACTGATTTGGCAATCTGAGGGAATGAAATGAATGAATGAAAGCGAGTGAAATCTGGGATTCTCATTTTCCTGCTGCTCTACCAAATGGGCTGGGCTTCTCCCTTCTCTGCTTGGAAAACTGCACATCCTGAGACCCAGCCCAGATGTTTCCCTCTGTGAAGCCCTCGTGATGCCAGATGGAGAGTTGGTTCCCTCTCTTCTGTGGTGCCAGGACGCCCAGTCACACACTCTATAGGACAGGTATTGTGATAGTCTGTTTCTCTTCCCGGCTCCAGGCTGTGAGCTGGGTGAAGGTGGAAGTCTTTGGCAGTCTCCTGTTCCCCACACCTGGGCCATGCCTGGTTCACAGAGCTCTGTAAATGGTCATGAAATCAGTGAGCATTTCACCCTGTGGACAGTTTCAGTACTATGCTGATCTCTTAGGATGCAGGTACCTTCTGAGCATGGCTGCAATATGGGCTGCATGAGTTAAGCTGGTAACTTGGGGACAGCTGGATCTTCATCTTTGTTCCAGACCCAGGATCAGGGGCACAAATTCATATTTATATGGAGTCATTCATATATTTATTGAATGAACAAATACATGAATGAAAGGTGTGGTCCCTGACCTCTTAGCACCTGTTCTTGGTGAGTTCACAACTGGGACTCAAGGAATTCACCTTGGAAGACTTCACACTTCCCCTCTCCTGCCCCCTCCTCCCCCATGCAGCCTTTTCTTAAAGGGATACCCTGGTGGCTTAGACTTAGCCAAACAGTGGCCAGCATCACTTGGCAACAATGCCCAGACACTTCAGCTTGTGATCCAGGAGACAGACCTTGAGTGATGAGCACCTGCTTTAATTTATTTAAAGTACACTTATTAATATCTGTATCTGCAAGGTCTAGCACAGGACTTGGTGCATAGAAGGCATTTTTAAACGTTTGAGCAAGGATGACATATGGCTATGAAAGGGATAACAACGTTTGAGAAAGATAAAAATGCCCGTCGTTCGCTGAGTATTTCCCGAATTAGGTTCCTGACTAGGTGGCTCCCTACAAATTCCGTTTCTTAGAACAACCCTGGGGTGGGTCTGTATCATTCATTCCCCCATCTTGCAGGTGGGCTCCCCCGTTGCTCAGGCCCACACTGCGGGGAGAAGCGTCTGCTGGAAGTTGAAGCTGGAGCGTCTGGCTCCAAAGTTTGCCTTCTCGGCGTCGCGCCCAGGAGCGTCCACATCACACTGCCACCTGTCTCCTCCGGTGCTGCAGGTGAAGCTCGGTAACGGGTCTTGCGTTGAGACCGCGTCCTTCCTGCAAAGATGGGTTCCAGGGAGGCTCCAGAGGCCTGTCCGCAGGCTGTGAGCAGGTGACTTGCAGCGGGGCGCGCTCTACCATCAGGTGTGTATGCAGCGGCGACCTTCGGTAAATGTCCGGCTCAGAACCTGACGCCAGTGGACGCTCGATGACGGCCTTTGGTGAACCCCGGCGGCTGTCAGCGGAGATCTGGAGACAGCCCCAGACGGAAGATCCTTCCCCCGACGCGGCACAGACCCGGGACCCGGGACCCGGGAGTCCAGAGCCTCGGCTTGGCAGCGGCGCACCCACCTGGGCGGGGCTAGGGGCGGGGCTCGACAGCGGCCCACCCACCCGGGCGGGGCTTGGGGGCGGGGCTCGGAGTGTGGCTTGAGGGCGGGGTCTGGGGCGGGGCTTTGGGCACGGCCAAATCTGAGCCCGAGGGGCCAGCCCGCCCCACTGAGGAGGCGGTGGCACTTGCGCACTCGGCCGCCCCCGCGCGCCTCTCCGGGGGTGGGGGACGGGGCGGGGCGTGCCGGCGGCGCTCGGCGCTGACGCTGCGCCGACGCGCCCGACGTCGGGCACGTTGACGCCGGCGACGCGCCGCCNCCCCCCCCCACACCTCCCTGACCCCAGCGCCAGGTGACCCAGCGCTGGGCGCGGGGATGAGGACTCGGAGCTACAGAAAGCCACGGGCCAGGCCGGACTCCGTGGAGACCGGTCCCCAGCACCCTGGGGTCCCCGCTGCTGCCGCACCGGGGCGCGGGTGCGAGCCGGGTAGAGGTGTCGTTCTCGTCGGGTGCGCGGTGCGCGGCCCTGGGCACCTCCGTCCCGGGGGTCCGCCGAGCCCGGAGCACCGCCCCTCGCCCCGTAATTACATTTGAGACAGAGGAGCCTCTCGGAATCTCACCCTTCACTTTTCCTCCCTTCCTATCCGTCCATCTCGACCCGCTATGTTTCCATTGTGGAATATTTTTTGGGGGAGGGGAGTGGGGTAGGGGGGGAAGAGGCTGTGAACTTACATAAGTGAGGTTGACTGACCAACCATCGCAGCCTTTGCAAAAGCACCTCTCGTAGCCCTTAACGAGCCTAGTTCCCGTTTAGCGCTTACCAAATCCAGCCCAAGAATTTGGGGAGCCAGTCAGTCCTTCCCCAGAGCTGACTGCACACATTCCTGTAAGATGCCTGATGGGTTTTGTACTTGTCAGTTTTACTGACTGTATGCTCCTTCTGTGCTTTTTCCTGAAACATGATTGGGTGGCACGTGTTTTGACTTTCTCTCTCCCCCCCCCCCAACCGGGAAATAAGGAGGAAAAAAAAACGGGTTACAGAAGCACGCTTGTTTTTCAACAATCAGAAAGTATAGCTTTGCAAACAAAATGCCACAGGGTTTGTCCTTTATGTGAGGGGTAGTCTGTTTGGTCTTTAACCCTTCGCTGATTATTGTCAGTATTCATGTCTTCATCTTGGGTGTGCCTTGCACTTAGGATAGGCCTGTGTGTATTTTCCAAGCGTACTTCTCTCTACAGAGCCTAACAGTCAGATCTGGGAATAGCAAGGCCTTTCATTTATCAGCTCCAAATAGCTAGAAAGTCACAGCTTTGTAGAAGACTTTATTTAGAAGCGCCTGATGACTATGGTCTGGGTGTCTTTTTTTCAAGATGATGTGCGAGGTGATGCCAACCATCAGTGAAGCAGAAGGCCCCCCGGGAGGAAGTGGGAGCCAAGGGTCCAGCTCCCCTTCACAGCCAGATGCAGATTCACATTTTGAACAGTTGATGGTCTCCATGCTGGAAGAGAGGGACCGTCTTCTCGACACGCTGAGAGAGACCCAAGAAACGCTGGCATTAACCCAGGGGAAACTGCACGAGGTTGGTCACGAAAGAGATTCCTTGCAGAGGCAGCTCAATACCGCGCTTCCACAGGTATGGATGACTTCCCCTGCAGGTTTTTGTCTAAAGGCTTTTTTGGGGGGTGCCGCTATTTTAGATGTGTGTTTTCCCATCATCACTTGTGCAGTGGTTCTGTTATTTGTAAGTCACGTACAGATAAAGTTCCTGAGAGATTAAACTTCTTAGCTAGAGCGAACTGTGGTGTACTGTCAAGTCCTGTGAAGACACCTTATCGGTCCTGTTTGTCTCTCTGCGGGGGGCAGCAGAAGGAGCCGCCTAGATTTGGAGGAGCACTGCAGAGTTTTGGAAAAAAGGGCCACCAAGGAACCAGTCTCCGTGGTGCCTTCCGTCTTGTTGCCATAAGCCTTTCCCCTCCTGATCCTGCGACTCCATGGCTTGTATCAAGTATTTCCAGTTTCCTAATGCAGTGTCCTGGACAAATGGAATGACTCTCCCAGGAAGAATATATTTACAGTTTGCCTTTCTCAGCAGCCAGGTGCTTTGTAAGTCAAGTTTGTTTCAGGGGGTAGAAGACTGAAGATGGGTTCCTTCGGCACTTTCTCTTTAGCAGCTGAAAATTATAAAGCTCACAGTCACAGCAAGGTTTTTCATCTAAGGGTACTGGGTTTGGAGCCATGTTTCCAGGCCTTTTCTTGTGGCGCTGATTGAGGATCTAATGATAGGTGCAGGGAGGTTTCAGCTGAAGACTGTGAGGTGGGTGGTGCAGAGTATAGCGGGAGACGCGAAGGTTCCTTGGGTGTTTATGGCTGCGGAGGTGCCATTTGACTTACTCATAACAGGTGCCTTTATGCTGGTGTCAGGTAGACCTGAATAATCATGCGTGCATTCTCTCGTGATGGGTCTGCAGTGGTAAATTAGTAAATGAATAATTACTAGCCTTAATGCATTTCTTGGCTTTCGTCAAGTCTCCTGAAAGATTGATATGCCAAACATTTGGATTTCCTCTTTAGCAACAAGAATTTGATGTCACTGCTATAACGTTCCTTCTCTCTCAGATGTGAGAATCATGGAAGTTTTTTTCGCATTTGAGTCTTGTAGATTACCAGGTTTGTTTGGGTCCAACTTTATCATCAGTACCACTGTCTCTAGGAGATAGTGAAGGACTGGTGTGCTGCAGCCCACAGGGTCACAAAGAGCTGGACACGACTTGGACTGAACCACCCCCCCCCCCCCCTACAAGCTTTGAAGGATGGCCCAAGTTGTGCCTTACTGGGACTTTGTTGTAGCATTTGTAAATCTTCTCATCAGTACCACTGTCTCTAGGAGATAGTGAAGGACTGGTGTGCTGCAGCCCACAGGGTCACAAAGAGCTGGACACGACTTGGACTGAACCACCCCCCACCCCCCCTACAAGCTTTGAAGGATGGCCCAAGTTGTGCCTTACTGGGACTTTGTTGTAGCATTTGTAAATCTTCTCAGTCCTTTGGCGTTTTTCTTTTGTTTTTTCATAGTCGTATTTGTCTTCTCGTAATTTGAGGTGCATCCGTGGACGCGTAGTTTTTTGAAGGGATGAGCACAAGGCCGAAACAGGGAAGGGCCGGGACTTCTGTCAAGTCCAGCCTCGTGCTGCGGAGGCGGCTGCGCCAGCATTGGGACAGTTGCTCAGTGGTCTGTTTCCAGCTGCTGCTCCGTGGTGTAGCCTGGAAATGCCTTGTTGAGTGAAGAAGGCGATGATGTCACCGCTCACCTGCCGAGAACCTGAGCCAGTTTTAGAAACACGGGAAGCAGTAAGGAAGCCTTACGTGGATCCTGCCCTTTCTTGGCATTTCTAGTCTGTGTGGTGGCTCATTGTGTGACCAGGTAGGCGTGTGAATTTACTCCTGCCAGATTATGTAGGAAGTAACAATGTACTTAAAAACTTTATTGTAACAGAACATAGGTCAGAAAAATTCACACATCATAAGTGTGCATTGCAGTGACTTTTCACTCAGTGAGCACACTCTTGTAATTACTGCCCAGGCCAAGAAAAGAACATTCTCAGGCTGCCCAGAGGCCCCTCCCACCCGCTCCCAGTATCTCTCCCAGAGCTAACCGTAGTCTTTTCATCATTGATTAATTTGACATGTTCTTGACTTTATGTAAATGGAAGTAATATGTGTATTTTATTTCTTGATTCTTTCGTTCAACATTATCTTTGTGAGCTCTCTCCATGTAGGTCTGTTTGTTCTCATCTGCTATGTAACGCAGTGTATGAATGTACCACAGGGCTTCCCAGACGGCTCGGTGGTAAAGAACCCACCTGCCAGTCCAGGAGACGCGGTTTGATCCCTAGGTAGGGTAAGTTTCCTGGAGTGGGAAATGGCAACCCACTGCAGTATTCTTGCCTGGAAAATTCCATGGACAGAGGAGCCTGGTGGGCTGCAGTNGGAAATGGCAACCCACTGCAGTATTCTTGCCTGGAAAATTCCATGGACAGAGGAGCCTGGTGGGCTGCAGTCCATGGGGTCGCAGAGAGTTGGACGTGACCGAGCAACTGAGCACACACATGAATGTCCCATGATTTATTCTTTCTGTCGTTCATGGGTATCTGAGCTGTCTCTAGGTTTTACAGATGCTGCCCTGAATGTTCTTACTTGCTTTTTGGTGCAGATGTGTACGCATTTCTGTTGGGTGTGTTCAGAGGCGTAGCACTGCCAGGGGATGGAGAGTGTTCTGCCCGAGGTGGTGGTGCTGACTGTGGTCATGCCCCCGCCCCGTGTGGGCCTCTGGGGTGTTGAGCAGAACGCCCCTTGCTGTCTTTGGTTCTGGTTGTCGCTGTCGGGCGTGTTGAGCAGTTGCAGTTCGGGGGGGTGGGAGCCTGCTACTCCCCGTCTGTCCCCGAAGCGTACCCCCACAAGCAGGCAGAGCCCTTGCTCCTCTGTGGGCCTTTCTTGGCCATTTGTGTACCTTTTCTGATGAAATAATTGTCTTCTGCCCATTTTTCAGTTGGATTGTCTGTCTGTTTCGTATTGATTTTAGGAGTTCTTTTTATACATTCTGAGTACGTGCACGTATGGCAGGGTTTTTTTTTTTACTTTCTTGAGTGTGTTGGCCTTTACTCTCTCAGTGGTGTCCTTTAAAAAATATAATGTCTTATCTTAATGTATCCCAGGTGATCAGTCTTTTCAGTAATATTTAATGCACTTGTGGCCATTGAAAGATATTAACATGAAGCTGCATGAAGATACTATCTTGTAAAAGCTTTATTGTTTATCTTTTACAGTTGGATCGGTAATCCGTCTGAAATCGGTATTTGTTTATGGTGTGAGATAGGGGCCTCGATTCCTTTTTTTGTCCTTTGAGTGTATGGGTATCCAGTTGTAATTTTCTTTTTTTAAACTCTGCTTTGCCCAGTGTCGTCTCCGCTATGAACCACGTGGCGGGAAAGGCGTGGGTCTGTTTTGACCCTCCTCTCTTCATTGATCTTGTTGTCTTTTTTGCACAAACACCACACTGTCTGAATTCCCGTTGATTTAGTCAGTCTTCATATCTGGTAATTTATATCCTACAGCTGAATCCTTATTCAGTATTACCTTGGGTAATCTTGACCCTTTGCATTTTCAGATAAGTTTTAGAATCTACTTGGCCATCTTTCCCTAGAAAATGCTGGGATTTTAATTAAGTTTGAATTTAAGTTTAATTTGTTGACCAGTGTGGGAGAAATGACATCTTTTTAATGTTGTTCTTATAATCCTTGAACACAGTATATAAGTTTATAGTTTGCTGTATGTCTTGTACATGTTTAATTAGATATCTGATATTTTCAGTGCCATTATAAATTACTAATATGTACAGATAGAGTTGATTCTTCTATATTCACTTGCTGAATCCATTTATTTCAAATAATTCTTCTTGTATTTTTTTATGTATACACAATTATGTCTGCAAGTAAGTGCTTTTCCCCCCTTTCCAAGTGTGATAACCCTTTTCTTTTCCTGCCTTGTTGTCCGGACGAGGATCTCTAGCACAGTGGTGAACAGAAGTGATGAGAACAGGCATCCTTGTCTCTTTCCCATTATCAGAGGAAAAGCTTTCAGTATTTCACCATCACATATGGTGTTAGCTTTTTTGTGGATATTTTAATCAAAATATGTAAATTCGCCTGTTAGTTTGATAAGAGTTTTTTTTCAGTCATGAACTAAAATTAAATTTTCTTAAGTTTATTTTCTGCAGATTTTGAAACAGGTGATTTTACTTTTATGTGGTGATTTAACTTTTAAAAAATTTTGTGGTTCTGAAACAATCCCAACCTGATCTCGATGTATTCTCCTTTTGTTGGACTTTATTTGTTAGTGTTTTATTTAGGATTATTTCATCTATATTGAGAGTCTGTAATACTACTTTCTTGTACTTCTTTTCCTTGTTGGGTTTAGTATCACAGTTATGCTCGTCTTATAAAACAAGGTGGAGAGTGTTCCTTGTTTAACCCGAAAGTTCCTGTGAGATTGTGATTTTCTTTCCTAGATTTTTGGAAGAATTGATCGGCAAAACTAGTTGCTTTCATTGTGGGGAGGCTTTTAATTTCAGATTTAATTTTTTTCATGCAAATAAAATTGTCTGACTTTGTATGTCTTCTCGGGTCTATTTAGGTAAAGCATTTCCCCCCTGCTAGGAATTTATTGAGGCCACCAGACTCTCCAATTAGTAAGTGAACTGTGGTTCATATTATCTTTCTTATCTGCAAGATGTGTTGTCTCCCTTTTAAAAATCCCTGATACTGCTGATTTGTGCTTTGTCTCTTTTTCTTAGTCAGTCTCTCTAGTTTTATCAGTTTTATTAGTCCTTTCAAAGAGCCAACTTTTGGCTCTGTTTTAAAAAAACTTCATATTTGTTTTCTGTTTCTGTATTTTCTGCTCCTTTTTTTCCCATCTGCCTTGTGTTTCATTTGCTATTCTTTTTTTCTGGTTTCTTGGGATAGAGGCTTAATTGATTTATATCCTTCCTTCTTTTCCAGTATATGTGTTTAAGTTACTCTCTAAACACAGTTCGTTGCATCCCACAAATTTGAATAAGCCAAATGTTCATTTCTCTTT